GAGAGAGAGAGAGAGAGAGAGAAGAGAGAGAGAGAGAGAGAGAGAGAGAGAGAGAGGAATAACGTGTGAAAGGAGCCACAGCTGGATTGGATCCGGGTGAGACTACAGACTCTGTGCATGGGATGTGAACACAATATTGGAGATGCTTTTAAAAAATGGAGAGAGGTTAGAACGCAGAAAGGTGCAGACCGATGCAGAGCTGGATAAACACTGAAGCTTCAGAGTCCACCACATAGCAACATGAGTGCACACTGACTCTAGGGAGGAGGGGGCGGGGGGAGACAGCTGTCTACAATGTTTTAAATTTGGACCACAGTACCAATCTTAAACGCTATAGGTGTCCGAGTTACATATTGCTCTTTTAAGACTAAACAAGGCAATCTCTCGAGCAGAGACAAAAGCCGATGGTATAAACGGTTTGATTTAAAAACAGGCGGAGTGTGGGAGAGCCGAACATGTGGACACAGACTGTTCAGAGTTCTTTTGGAGATGGGACTGAGAATACTGAGTCTCCCCTGAGCTACAGCTGAGACCTTAGGACAGCCAGAAGCATTTAGTCAGAGGATCACCTGAGTGTCCTTGTCAGAAGATGTGGTTTTAAAAGGTCAGACACATAAGTAGGAGCTTCTCGGTATGTCAGTAAAAGAATCTTAAAATCAATCCTCACACACACAGGGAGCCAGTGAAGAGAAGCTCATGTTTCTGTTCAGTGGTTAAAAGACGAGCTGCAGCGTTCTGAACGAGCGAAATCATGTCATGGAGGGAGCTCTGGCTTTTTGATCAAAGTGGAAATTGATCACTGGATCAGTGTCTCTGCTCTTCACCATCTTGGTTTTCTGGAGCAAGAGATGAACTTGTTTGGACGAGGGAAACAAGGGGTATGCAAATGAATTAATAAGGTAATAGTAGTGCTGCTTGATTTTGCCTTTTTGGGGGAAAAACGTAACTCCTCCCTCTCTCAGTTTATTGTTCTCGATGTGACGGTTTGTCCTCACCGTTTCTGTCAGAACATCGTCGCAGTGGGAGCCGGTTTCTGCGACGGGCTGAAGTGCGGGGATAACACCAAGGCGGCGGTGATCCGCCTGGGACTGATGGAGATGATCGCCTTCGCCAAACTCTTCTCCAAGAACGGCTCCGTGTCCACGGCGACCTTCCTGGAGAGCTGCGGCGTGGCCGACCTCATCACCACGTGTTACGGCGGCAGAAACCGACGAGTGGCCGAGGCCTTCTCGAAAACGGGGAAGGTGGGAACTGTTTCCACTCTGACTCTTTGAACTTTTAAGACATCATTCATAAATAAAACTCCTCTCTAATAAACCGTTTGTTTTTACATTTCTCCGTCCGCCCGCCTGTGCTGCTCTCAGAGCATCGAGCAGCTGGAGAACGAGATGCTGAACGGTCAGAAGCTTCAGGGTCCGGCCACCTCAGCCGAGGTTTACCACATCCTCAAACAGAAGGGCCTGGTGGAAAAGTGAGAGAACTACACTCTGTCTTCATCTCTGCAGTCTTTTCATAACCATGGGAATCCTTTTTGATAATTCCAGCAGAACGCTACGATACTCTCATGCAGCCCTACGAGCTCGTACACCTATCTACTGATTCCCGAGGTTTTTTTATTGAATAGAAGACGCCACCCGTCTGATTTGTTTTCATGGTCAAATGTGAAAGTTAATGTCTGCAGGAGGATTACAGGAAAGATCAGGTTGTAGGACAGGGGGAGGGACTACTAACCTCCAATTTCCACACACTCTGTGCACGCCGCGGTCCGTCAGTGCTACTACGCTCTGCTCAAAGACAGAATATGACATAACCCCGGACAGGAAGTCAGAACAGGAAACGCACAGAGCACCCGGTCAATTTCAAAATAAAACACAATATACGGACTCCTGATCGTATTTTATCAACATTACGTCATAATATGCACCGAACAAATAACAAATCATCGTCAGAAAGACAAAGCAACATGTTGTTTTTGCACATTTTAAAAACCGTGGCGCTGAAGAAATATGTGGGAATTGGGAGCTAGACACTTTGCTAATTTGAAAAAGAGACACAAAGAAGTGATTAATAAAACACGATATCAGAATCAGATCCTGATTTTGACATCTCTGTGAGTCTCTATATAGAAGTGATGCAGACAGAGTGAATGACTAACTGTTTGACCGGCCACACATCACTCTGAAAATGATTTTATTGTATTGATTCACATGTATTTTTCAAGATTTTAAAGTGGGCGGGGCTTTGATGGATAAGGATTACTCAGACATGCTTCATCCTGCCTCTTATGTCTCGTCCTCCTCGTCCTCTGACTGTGCGTTCCTCTGTGCAGGTTCCCTCTCTTCACAGCCGTCTATCAGATCTGTTTCGAGGGGAGGCCGGTCCAAGAGATGATCTCCTGCCTGCAGAGCCACCCGGAGCACATGTGACACCTGGGACCCACAGAGAGTGGAGGTGGGGGGGGTCAGCGTGAGGGATTCATGCACCAGTGTAACTTTGAAGTTTTGAATTCCACACATGGAGAGGTCTGTTTTTAAAACGTTGGGTCAGCTGGGTCTCAGATATTAACTAAAGGTGTGCCGTCTTCACACCTGACCGAGATCATGATCTGACCTCCCAAATGTTGAGTCCTTCTATCTATGAAAAAATGATGTTTTAACTTTATTTTTTGGAAATGTTCTCTCTTTATCTTCTCTGTTTTGTAAGACAGCAGCTTGTCCCCGAGTCTTTACAAGTCATGGAAGAAGGTTTTGTCAGTCACAGCACGGTCTTATCCTGCAGTTAAAGATTCATCAGTTTGTTTATATATCAACAGACAGAAGAGCAACTGAAACTCACAGCCATAACCAGCCTGACTGTGTCAAACTGATGGACTTTAACAGCAGCGTGCAGACACGATATTCTCTGAAGATAAAGATATTTACTTTGAGTTTCACTATTTCATAACCTGACCAGAGTTGTTGTGATACCACAATGATAATCCTCTTTTTGCTTCCCGTAAACATGACACATGGGATATCAATCCTTTTTTTTTATACTAAAATTAAATTAATAGGTAACCAATTTTGGGTATATTCATGTTTTTAATGATCAAAAACTGCAGGCGACCTTCTGCCAACTGTCTAAATGGCACTAAGACATTGCCAATGTATTAGTGCAATACAGACAGTGTTTACATTTGTTCCCAAAATATAGGGTTTAGACTGGTTTTACATTAATCCTTGTCAAATGTCATCCATAATCCAGTTGAGATGAGCAGTAAATCTTAATGAACCTCAGCTGCTTTCTCTCTTTTTCACTCGTGGCAGCTCTTGTTTTAAAAATATTAATTATAATCTGAAGTTTTCTTAAAGGTCACATATTATGCTAAATGTTTTTATAACTCTAACATGTGTCTCTAGTCGGTCTATAAACCCCCCAATGATGAAAAAAGTCCATCCTCTCCATCTTTTTCCTGCTCCACTTTTCAGAATATGTGTGCTCAAACAGGCCGTTTGGAGATTTTACCTTCATGACATCACAAAGGGGAGTAACCCCTTCCCCAGGTGGGTGTCACTCCCACAGCTAGGTGTTTGTTCTGCCCTCTGAGTCTGCCTTCTCACCGTAAACAATAGGACATCGAGCAAGAAAGCACCGAGTACACCCAAGCCCTTCCAGAGAGGGGGCGTGGTCAGACACAGCTCATTTACATATTTAAAGGTACAGACACAGAAACAGTCTGTTCTGAGCAGGGCTGAAATAGAGGGGTTTATAGACATGATCAAATACAGGATCAGAGTGGATTTACAACAAGAAACTTCACACACATGTTTTGAGGAGCTCTGAGACTTATTTAAACTGGATGAAAAGAAGTTTAATATGTGACCTTTAAAGATTTGTTACTTTTTGATACTATCAATCATTAAAAACCGAAATCTATCAAGTATCAACATTTTGACAACTTAACAAGTTTGTATTCATGTTTTCACTGACTCTCAGGTAAACATACAGTCATTAGTAATAACTGTGTTTATAAAGATGCTAACACTATATCCTTCAGTGCACATGTAGTTAATGAAAATGGCCTTTTTAACAGATTTAGGGTGTCTTGAGTGGACCTGCGTTATCAAACCTGCCGTCTGTAATCAATGCCTTTCAGAACACCAGCGTACATGTCGAACATATCGGGTTTGTAGCTGAGAGATTTTTCCTCAAACTGCAGAGAAGAACTGTGTGATTCTGTCCTTCAGTGGTCAAACAGGGACGCTCATAGCTCTTCAAATGTCACTGTTTGTTTAAAGTCCTGCTTTGAAGAGACACGATCTGCTGTGTGGTGGAAAGTTCCTGTTAAAAGGTTTTAGAAAGAACGTGTGTGTGTGTGTGTGTGTGCTCATTCTCTGATTTATGTTAAAGGATCTCGTCTTGAATACAGTTTAAGATTGTTATAGATAGGATCTGGTAGAAGCAGTTCAGTCATCAGGTGAAGAAGTTGAACTTGTTTTACCTTTTGCTTCATCGTATCGGGTCGTCGTCTGCCAACTCTCATTCCTCTGTTTCCTCCCTCCTCATCTCCTCGTCTCCTCCATCCTCCTGACTCTGATCTATAAAGTGATATCAGCCACCAGCTAGCAGGTTGTCTCATTTCCTAAAGAGCTATTTTACCAGTTATGAGAGGAGGTTTTGTAAGGAGCTGTAGGCGAGGATTCTCAGGTGTTTTAGACGTTTTTCCTGCACCTGTGATGGACAAAAAAGACCTGAAACAGCTTAAATAAACACACCATGTCTAGACAGAAAACCTGATGTGTTCATCAGAAATCCTCGCTCCAATCTGAGAGGTCACTACCCCCCTGAAAAAAAGGGAATTTTGAGGATGTGTGCTCCCGTTATCTAAACCCACCTGCAGTAAACAAACATTTCCTTCTTAAACTTTTTACATGCACACCACACAGACCTTGGACTGATGTCATCAGAGAGCATCTTTAGTGTTCACCTGTTAAACCTTCAGTGCTTATTATAGTATCTTAACAATCTGGTGTTTATTATATTCTAAGAGACTTAATAAAACTTCTCATGTGTATGACTTGTGTCTCAGTTTTCTTCAAATTGGCAGCTTCAGTTCTTTCTGAGTAACGTCTTTACCTTTAGGTCCATCGCTCAGTGTTTAGTAATGTTCTTGTATTTAATCACACTTTAAACCTGTATATGTTTAGGGATATAAAATGTTTTTAAAAAAGCCCGTTTCCACCAAGCGGTCCGGTTTGGTTCAGTCCTGATCTTGCTTGCATTTCCACCTCCAAGCGCTCCCTTACACATCACTAAATCACAGCGGAGTGACAAAGTGTAGACTGCCAAAAAATCCAACAAAGAAGAAGAATGTGACACAGTTAACAACGATTAATGATTCCTAGGAAAGTCTTCAACTCCGAAGCAAAAACCAAAATCAGCCTTGAAATGACTCTCTCCAAATCTGCGTCATATTTAAACATGCTGTGTTTTGTGTTTGTCCTTTATTAGCTGTCGCACAGGAAGTGAAGATTCTTTCGACCAACCGACTGATTGCAGTGTGTCTAGCTCCACCCTTCAGGGTCTGATCGGTACGCTTGGCAACCCAACAGAAGGGTGCCAAAAAGTAGGCCGATATTATCAGTTATTTTGGTAACCCTTCCCAACTTTTGACTGTGGAACGCCTTTAAATGTGTACCGTACCAAACCAAACTGAACCAGACCGCTTGGTGGAAATGGGGATTTATATTGTTGACAATGTCCAAGTGGTGATATCAAAAAGGACCAACACATGTAAACAGACTTTACAAGTTCACATGTGGTTCTAAGAGTCAAAGATCGTCATGATGGGATTCAAACTGATGCTACTTTACGCTGATCTCATTTTCTGAGTGGATTATCTTATGTTCATGTTTATCATTGCTAACTGTTTAAATAAATGCTAAAAATCTGCTTTTAAAGTGAGTTCATGTGTTGAATATCTTTTCAAGAATAAATAAATAAATGAACTTCACAGACTTATCATCGGGACAATTTAGAAGTGTATTCCTGTATCTCCTCGTGTTGCTCATATCTCTGCATTGATTGGTCTGGTGTGAAGATGTCAGAAGATCAGTATGGATTCTGACTCAAATTTAAATTCATTGTTTGTACTACATCTATCTGCTTTTATTTGACATTTAACAGCAGAATACTGACTGTAACTTTCTGTCACAATAGGAACAATACAGACATCTCAGGTCGTCTGCTTCCTGTCCCCAGACCACCTGACCCAACATGGAGAAGCTAAGTGTGTTTTTCATGTTCTGTATATATGAACAAACTCTAAGAAAACTGCACTTCCATGAAAACTCTGAAGTTATTTTATATAAAAGTGGAGGACTCACCGTTTTACACGCACCTGCCTTTTAAAGAAATTCATCAACATAATTTAATAAAGTTTATTTAGCACAATTCAGCAACAAGGTGATTAAAAGTGCTTTACACCAGACATCATGAAAAAGAAAGAAAGAAGCCATTAAACCCTAAAAAAAATAAACTAAAATATATGACAGCAGTTAAAAAAAGAGTAAAGGTTACAGTGCAGTGTTATAGTAAAAAATAGTGATTAAAATAACGACATTAACATTGTAATTTTTACACTGCACCATAAGTTATATGTATGGAAGCCCATTTCCGCCAGTTAAAAAAATAAAAAGAGATAATAAAGTCATAATTATGAGATAGAAAGTTGAAATTATGAGATTATCTCATAATTCTGACTTTATTATCTCATAATTTCGACAAAGCCAAGTTTTCATTTTTTTAACTGGCGGAAATGGGCTTCCATATATACGGCCATAATATTTAAGCTTAGGCCTATATGTTTTATCTGGGTTTTAAAAAAAATCTTTATTCTTATCTTCTTTGGGGTTTTAATGGCTTGTTTCTTTCCTTTGTCATTATACTTCACGTCTTGGGTAAAGCACTTTACACTTGCTTTGCCTTGGCTTAAAGTCCCTGTAAAACAAAAAGGATATATGTTTTTTAGTTTTTTATACAAAAGAAGAATGTATTATTAACCACCAGGCCAAATTTCAGCAACGAAAAAAAACGTATAAGTTTATAAAATTAAGCTTCAAAATCATGAAAAATGTAACGTCGCACGCCCCTTCAGCAGGTGGCGATAGTGCGCCTGAGAGCTGATCGACAGCCGCGATTAACCACCACAGAAGAAGAAGAAGAGGCAAGATAAGGTAAACAGCTAAGCTAACAGTTGTGCTGAGGTCAGACAGTCACCTGTATGTCTGCTGTCAGTGCTCAAATCAACCAGCACACTCACCTTTAACGAGTCACGAGCTCTGGATGTGTCACATATGAAATGCTAACACTGTGATGCTAGCTGCAGGAGCTAACGGGAGCCATGTTTGTTGTTGTCATTGAGTAGAAGTCACACAAGTTAGCAAACGAAGCTAAGTTACGACATGCTTCAATAATAAACGTTCTTAAGTTGTTTTTGAGTTAGTTTGAAGTGAGCTTCATGAATCCTGAAGAAACCTTCTCTGTGCTGCAGACAGATTTATGTTAACAGTTTGTTTTAAATCTGTTTATGTCTCAGATCTGCTGATGGACCAAGTGATTTAAAATCTCCTCTTGATGACAATCAGCAGAAATGTCTGTGAACTGTCTCCTGAGACACACACTCAGGTATCACTGCTCACACACACACACACACACTCAGGTATCACTGCTCACACACACACACACTCAGGTATCACTGCTCACACACACACACACACACACTCAGGTATCACTGCTCACACACACACACACACACACTCAGGTATCACTGCTCACACACACACACACTCAGGTATCACTGCTCACACACACACCATCAGGTATCACTGCTCACACACACACCATCAGGTATCACTGCTCACACACACACACACATCAGGTATCACTGCTCACACACACACCATCAGGTATCACTGCTCACACACACACCATCAGGTATCACTGCTCACACACACACACTCAGGTATCACTGCTCACACACACACACTCAGGTATCACTGCTCACACACACATCAGTATCACTGCTCACACACACACTCAGGTATCACTGCTCACACACACACCATCAGGTATCACTGCTCACACACACACACACTCAGGTATCACTGCTCACACACACATCAGGTATCACTGCTCACACACACACACTCAGGTATCACTGCTCACACACACCATCAGGTATCACTGCTCACACACACACACACCATCAGGTATCACTGCTCACACACACACACACACCATCAGGTATCACTGCTCACACACACACACACCATCAGGTATCACTGCTCACACACACACACACACACCATCAGGTATCACTGCTCACACACACACACACCATCAGTATCACTGCTCACACACACACACACACACACCATCAGGTATCACTGCTCACACACACACACACACACCATCAGGTATCACTGCTCACACACACACACCATCAGGTATCACTGCTCACACACACACACACACACACCATCAGGTATCACTGCTCACACACACACACACACACTCAGGTATCACTGCTCACACACACACACACACACTCAGGTATCACTGCTCACACACACACACACACTCAGGTATCACTGCTCACACACACACACACACTCAGGTATCACTGCTCACACACACACACACACACCATCAGGTATCACTGCTCACACACACACACACACACACACTCAGGTATCACTGCTCACACACACACACACACACTCAGGTATCACTGCTCACACACACACACACACACACTCAGGTATCACTGCTCACACACACACACACACACTCAGGTATCACTGCTCACACACACACACACACACCATCAGGTATCACTGCTCACACACACACCATCAGGTATCACTGCTCTCTCACCATCAGGTATCACTGCTCTCACACCATCAGGTATCACTGCTCTCACACACACACACCATCAGGTATCACTGCTCTCACACACCATCAGGTATCACTGCTCACACACACACACACCATCAGGTATCACTGCTCACACACACACACCATCAGGTATCACTGCTCACACACACACTATCAGGTATCACTGCTCACACACACACCATCAGGTATCACTGCTCACACACACACCATCAGGTATCACTGCTCACACACACCATCAGGTATCACTGCTCACACACACACACACCATCAGGTATCACTGCTCACACACACACACCATCAGGTATCACTGCTCACACACACCATCAGGTATCACTGCTCACACACACACACCATCAGGTATCACTGCTCACACACACACCATCAGGTTTATTATACATCAGCAGGTGTTGAAAGAGAACAAGAACATTGTACTGAAGTTCAAACTTTAACTTGGATGATTAGAAATAAAATGACTGGTCTATAAATCTAAAAGTAAGCTTCACTTCGTCACATATCTCTCTTTTTCTTTGCAGGTTGAAGAGGAAACATGTAGCTGCACATTTCGTCCCTCACAGATCTCTGTCAGGAGCAGAAGCTGTCAACGCTCTCAGACCGTTTTATTTCGCCGTCCATCCGGACTTCTTCGGTCAACATCCCAGAGAACGGGTACGTCTCCAAACTTTAGACCGACACGGTGTTCCTGCACAGTGGGGAAATGATGGACTCCGATATTTAGCACGACTCGGAATAAATATAAAAGAGAAAATGAAAAAACGTATTTTGTTCCTGCACGTTGCCTCTGTTCTGTTCTCTTAACGATTGCAACCTGTGTGAGCATCTACTCTAGAGAGGAGAGGGGAGGGGGGGACAGCTCTCTGTGATATTTAGAATTTGGAATGCAGTACCAATTTTAAACACTAGGTGTCGTTTTGCTCCTTAAAATTGTTCATATTTTATAAACTGAAGGACGATAATATAAATACACGTAGCAGTCGGAGAATAATCCCAGATCTAAAGTCTGGTTGGTTCTTTAGGGATTAAATCGTCGTAATGTAACGTGTAGATGCTGATGTTAGAAATGGTCTAAAGGATCGACAGAAGTCGAGAACTCTAGTCCTGAGAAGTCAAGAGTTTTAAAAAGTTTAATGTGTAGAATCCCTGAGTGAAGCTGCTGTGAGTCAACAAGACTACACTGACACATGCAGAGGTTTTCCAGGAAGTATAAACCACCCACTTCAACGTTTTGTTTTACAGGAAGTGAATGAGAATTCATTAAAGAGGTTAAATGGTTACCTTGACAACCTGCAGAAGCCCGGCTCTCGCTCTCTTCAGCCCATGAAGCTCACATTTTACGTCAGGGACACAGGGGACAGCAAGGACGAGCAGCCCGACCTCCTCCCCGCAGGTTTACACATTCTTTAAAAGTATCCGTCTGTAATATTTCTGAGATCTGTCTTTAGGGATCTAACCGTCCCTCCTGTGTCCTCAGGGTTCCGCTCGGTCAGTTTCACCCTGCAGACCAGCGACGTGTTGAGCACGGTGGTGAACGTGTTGAAGTCCTGCAGTCTGCCCGTGGAGCACATGAAGGGACTGAAGGGAGGTTCACAGACGGCTAAAGGGGCACCTGTGGCGGGTGTGCCTTTCTACAGACCCATCAGATGGGACAAGAGCTACTACAGCTTCACCGGCTTCAGGGACCCGGAGCAGGAGCTGCAGCAGGCCCGCAGGGTGGAGCCCACACTCAGGTCAGAGTCAGTTTTTAAAAACCTTTTCATAAAAATCTGTCAATGCCTCAGAACCACAGAGACACGGTTCATATTTCTGATACGCATGAAAAGACAGTGTTTTTTTTTTTTTTTTAAGAAATGAGTTTTTGAGGGGGGGTGGCTTTTGGCCTTTACTTGATAGGACAGCGGATGGAGTAGGAAACCAGGGAGAGAGAGAGAGTGGGGAATGACATTCGGGAAAGGAGCCACAGGTCAGAACCCGGGCCGTCCGCTTGAAGGACTGCATCCTCTGTACGTGGGACGCGATCTAACCGCTAGGCCATCTGTCCCATACGACAGTCTTTCTAATAAGGTTATCAAAATGTATCAATACGTTTTGGGTCATTAAAAATGAGGTACCAAATATTTGGTGTTAAGAACTTCTGTTTTTGTTTTAGTGGATCCAAACAGGTATCTTGGTGTCGTGTCTAAATTTAAAATAAAGTCAGACAGATCCTCCGTCACACCGCCGACACTCACTGCAGAATGTAGACCTTAAAGTGAGGAATCATGTACAGTATGTTTAAACCTGAGCCAACCGGGTTCAAACCTTAAAAGACTTGCAGAGGTAGACTTTGTTGTTGTTGTTGTTTTCACTGTTTTTAGATACACTATATAGAGTATAGACTATGGGACATATTTGTGAACTGATTTGCAAAATGAGAATAAAAAAGATTGTCATGTTTTGATTAGACTTTATGACTTCATGTTGCATCACTTTGTTCAAAGCCACCAGACTCCATTGACTAAAACATGAATTTAACGTCACAAAACATAGCAGTTACTGATGAACCGCTGCCTTCATCAATTAGTTTATTTGTGTGTTTAACGATTATTGTGTTGGATGTGAACTTACTATTATAAAGACAAAGGTCAAAAATGACACAATCAAACTGATCGATTGAGACAGCAGTAGATCAGTATCTGCTGTTTTCTGTCACATAAAATGACTGGTTTTGTCAATGGAGTCTGGTTGCTTTGGAGAGAGTGATGCGACAGCTGTTTTTGGTTTTGAAATATTCTTAATATTTACCATCATACCTTCTAGTGCACGAGCTTGGGACATGTTTGCATAAGACGACCCTTTAACTGTAGAGTGTTTAAAAGAGGACTCAAGTATGATCAAACTTTATCTATTTCCAATTTCTGAGCTGAGCAGCATGTGAGCTGCTGTGCTGAAAACCAGTGACGCTGAAAGATAACACATTAAAGTGCAGGTCTGTAATGTCGTCATGTTCACCTCTCCAGCTTTTGGCTGAGAAAAAACGAGCCCGAGGCCACGAAGAAGTACAGCGCCAGTCTTCCTCGCAGAGACGAGCTGAGCAGACTGAAGGAGGAGCTGTGTCACAGATTTCACCTCTCTGACATCAGGTAAACTCACATCTACTGAGCCTAAACCAGCAGGTCAGCTCACCTGTCGGAACAGTCTGGGATGATGATGATGATGATGATGATGAGGCTGTATGTTGCAGGTGGCAGCGCAGTTGGGGCGTGGCTCACAGGTGCAGCCAGCTGCAGAGTCTGAGTCGACTCTCTCAGCAGAACCCCGAGGCCCTGATCAACCTGCAAGGTGACAACAACAGAGTCACCTGGGGACAGACAGCTGTTTGCACTCCGAGCACACTGATCCATCCACACTGCCTCTAAAGATCTCTAAGCTTTCCCATCCAAACATATGCAATGCGACCCGTTTGATTTTTCTCACCTGCTTCTTCAGGTGTTTTTATTGCCAGATATTGGAGAAACAGAATTGTTATAAATGTGCAAAGCGTTGAACTCTCCCTTTATCCTCCTCCAGGACACGACGTCATGTTTGCCGACCAGTCAGGGATGAACGCCTCTGGACACGTCATGTTAGGAACCATGGATGTCCATCACCAGTGGACCAAGGTGACAGAGCTTCACATCTCCTGCTCATGTTGTCTCATATCCTCACATTTTTCTGACTCCTCCTCCTCCTCCTCCTCCTCCTCCTCCTCCTCAGCTGTTTGAGCAGCTGCCCAGCTACCGCGCCCTGCAGCAGCAGACCGACTGGCTGAAGGAGCGCATCAGCCTCCTCGTGGGGGGGACTCAAGTGGTCCACAAGGAGAGACTGGGACCGGTTCAGCTTATCGCAGACCACTACAGCACCCTGAGCACCTTCCACAAGAGCCTGCTGACGGGACCCCTCCGCCTGCACCCCCGCAGCCTGCAGGGCCTCACCATGCAGCTGGAGAAGTACGCACACACACACACACACACAGACACACACACACACACAAAGCGTCTCACTAATGCAGCCTCACACTCGACATACTGTTGTGTTAAGTATGATACCTTTGTGTGTTCATCACAGTGACCGTTCAAAGCCCAGTCTTCATGAGATGGGACACTTCCTCATCCCGACAAACTGCGACCCCCCAAAGCTGCAGGTCTTCCTCCAGAGCCACGCCCCCGAGGCTCGACAACGCACACAACGCAGGAAACAGTGAGTCACACACACACACACACACACACACATCACTTCTTTCTGGAGAGATCAAACACAACACAGTCTTCTCTCTAACATCTTGTTCACACTTCCACACTCTGACTCTATCTGGAGTTTTCTGCATTAAGTCTAAGTGAGCTGATGTGAGAAAGGCAGCAGGAGATAATCAGGAGAATTCACCTCGAGCGAGTGGGAGGGGGTGGTGATGTTTATTCCCTGTGACCTGTGCACGACCATAGACTGTCTGCATGCAACGGTTGCGATCTCTTTGCACGTGATTAAACTCCATTATTGTGTTCTCTGCTCTTCTGTTGATATTTTGATTCTGTCAAACTACTCATAGCATTTATGTCAGGGGTCTCCAACAGGTAGGTTTTAAGTAGCTCTCCTAAAGGTTGACTAACTGTGTTAAAAAAAAAATATATATATATATATATATCTGACGACAGTAAATGCACCTCTTCCCACTATCTATATATTTGGCCCATGAAAACAAGTGTGAAGAAGTGATGTTTTCTTGAACCTTGATGTGAATTTAAGATTATTGATAAGCATTGGCTATGTGTACAAACAGTAGCTTAAACAAGCCGTAAATAAATGCAAGCGATTTGATGCAAGTAGCTCTTGGCCACTTTCAATTTTTCAAAGTAGCTCTCAGATGAAGAAAGGTTGGAGACCTCTGATTTATATAATGGCAAACGTTTTCATTATAGCATCGTATAGCGGACTCTGTTGCTTCTTCCACCACTTATGCATCACTATTTTTATGTCATAATCTCCCCCCCCCTTCCAACAGGGATAGTCCTCCACTGTGAGGTGCATGTGTGAACAACCAGGATTTCAGGGGCAGTCCTCCTGAAATTCTCGAGAACATTTCAAGAGTGCGTTATGTAAAAACGGCTTCAATGACCCCAAATTACAAAACTAACCTTGAGGAGAGTAAAGCCAGTTTATCTCTCTCTCTCTCTATATATATATATATACTGTATATATAACCCTTCTGACACAAAGCTGGCAAAGAAATCAAAATCTTTAGGTGTGTTTGTCCGACCTGCAGAGATTCAAACCACTGTGTTTACATGCATTTTAAAAGTCAAGTTTTAGTCGCACTGAAACAATAAATACCTTTTCTAACCTCATGTGAACGTTCTGACTCTGACTCCTGCCTCTGGGATCCGTGTGTCCTCCTGTGTGCAGGCTGCAGGCGGAGGAGGAGTCCATGCTGAAGCTGTGTCTCCACACTCTCTCTCTGAGGAGTCTGTCCAAGGAGCCCAGCGTCTCCTCCTCTCAGATGATCGCGTGCTGTCAGAGGCTCGCCGAGCAGCCGTCCCCCCTCCTGCAGGGCCTCCACCTCTGTGTGTCCCACTTCTTCTCCGTCATGCAGGACGGGGACCTGTGCATCCCCTGGGACTGGAAGAGCTGAGGAGGACTCTCTGACAGCTGGTCTGCAGGTCGTAGAGCTTTAGATGTTTGATGTTCCTCGGATAAGACGTCAGGAGATTTTTTTTTATCTGAAGGGAAACCTCTGGAGGAAACAATCATGTGTTAAACGGTCATTAAAGCTTTATCTCCACTGCTGGAACGGACGGACAGAGAGGAAATCAAGGGTTCCCAAACTGTGGCCCGAGGACCCCCTCAGAGCTCGCACAATGATTCACAAGAAAGGAAAGAAACGTTTCTTCTGCACTGTATTAATATTCTATAATTCCCTCTGAAACATTAGACATCAGAGCTCGTCAGTGATCAGTGTGAGAGGGAAGACTTTCTTTCCAACAAAGGCCAACGAGCTGAACCGTTAGAGAACCAGAGGAAGAAGTGCAATACGACGGCAGATTTGTTCCGTCCACGTTTGAGCGTCTCGATGATCGTGGTTTGACAGAGTCAGTGTTTGGGTGTGTGATGGGTATTTTTCTATTTAAAAATGTTTTTCAAAGACATGCACAAAGAAGCAAACAGATCCGTAACCCAGGGAGCTCCCGTTGGAAGGTTTAATTTAGCAACAAGTGACATTTCAAGACAACAAGCGAGCATCAAGCCGGTCTGAGGAAGAAGTTGGCTCCAAATGTCGCTTTTTGCTAAATAAATCCTTTAACGGGAGCTCCCTGGTGTGAGGATCTTCTCGCTTCTTTATGCCTGGAAATGTTTCTGAAAGAAGAAAGACGGTGGCACACTCAATGTGAACTAAAATAATCACAGCACCAACACGTTCAGCACAGTGTTAAAGCAGTGACCAGCTGAAGGATGTTATTTATTTTGAACAGGGTAGACGCCCCTTCCCCGACTCCTCTCCACAACATCCATCATAAAAACGATGACGCGGCGAACATTTTTAATTAAGCCTCTCTCTGTTCTGACTCCCCGAGAGTGTGATTTGTTGGAGTGGGGGTGAGGGGGGGTCCAGAAGGATATGAAGGGCAGCCAGTGAGATGCAAGCTTGACAGAAAATATGGCAACAGTAGCCGAAATCAGGCGTCCTGTGGGATATTATATATAGAGAGAGAAAACTGTGGTTGGTAGGGAAAGGTAGGGTTGGTAATTTTCGAAAACTTGCATGATTTAGAAAGTAGCATTCCCTCAGTGCTGCGTCTGCACCCACCCCCCTCTCCTCTGTGCTCCCTCTAAAGCCACGCCCCCTCACTTGCATGCAGTGGAGATTCTACAGTCTGTTGGGGCCCTAGGCAAAAATCATTTGGCCCTCCAACCAACGATCAGAGCACATCCTGTTAGACGGACCCCCTTAATGGAGGTTTCCTACCGTCATTGCAAAATTTGCACATTTTTTGGCTGCTTCTTTGGGGCCCCCTACTGGCCTGCCTTGCCTGTTGACAAACAGCGCCTCTGCTTACACATACAAGCGCCATTGGTCCAGAAGCGGACCTCAGCTCATCGCTTTGAGTGTGGGCTAGTGGACGCATGGGGTAGAAAGCGAGCAGGGAGACAGGGAGGCGTGTGATTGGTTCATCAGATTGGTACCTCGTGGCAGACATTGGTCAAAGTTTTTACAGACTTACTAACTGATACAGGTGATAGATTTTCTTTGTTCCTTTTTATTAATTTATTATTTTCTGTCAGGACCTAAAGACAATGTCAACCAAAATCTTAAAAAGTGTATCTGGAGAAAATTACCAACCCTGCCTTATAATGAAAGAGTACATTGGCAAAGTTTGTAACATTGCTAATGTTTTTGTGTAATTCAGACAGCTTGCAGGAGTTTTCCTGCAATTATTTTGGTAACTAAAAACAAGAAATTAACTAATATCGTGGGGCCTCAGACTTCTATTTTTGTCGCTGTGGTTTTCAAACAGGTATGGATAGTTTTATATTTGCTAGAATTATTTTAAAAAAGCTCACTCACCAATCACTGTGTGAGGTGGGCGGGACTTCAGATTGTTACAGAGCGTTATAGAAATGTCAGACGTATAGATAAGAGGAGCGTTTCAGACCGTTAATGATCTAACAAGCACTTTGTTTGAAGCACGATTTTGACCTTGACTTATCAACTATTTATACTGCAGCAGGGCCGGCTCTTGGCTTAGGCCATGTAGGAGGTGGCCTAGAGCGCCACATGCTGGAGGGGCGCCACCGAAGGCACCGAAATGGCTGGAGCCGGCCCTGTAGCCTACTGTAGTTATATTAAACATTCATGTGAATATAACTGAGATGATTGTAATCTGTACTGTGTGGAGACAATCAGTGCACACCCACAAAGACTCTGAATAATGTGACATGTTTGATCCAGCACCAGGACTGGCCTGAGTGATCCAGGATGTGGACTAACGTGTGATGAAGTTTGAGACATGTCATCATCTGTATCCGGTTGCAGCAGCAGCTCTGTACACGTTGTCGTTGGTCCACACTCAACCATGCGCTGTGACGTAGTGTGTTTTGTTACTTACGCTGTGTCATTGTTTGGTTGCACCGCTGAGATGTGAGGTTCATCCAAACGAGTAAGAGTCCAAATTTATGTTGCAGAAATTACGTTTTAACTTCACGTGACCAATCAGTGAACGCAGTGTTTTCTCTCTTGACTAACAGCTGAAAATAACTTGTTTATGTACACTAATCCACAAACAGCAATAAAATATTGTTCAATATGACGAGGCATGTGATAACTGAAGCCTGCACCCTTAATCTACATCTACTGTGTAATAACAGTGACATCTAGTGGTGAAATCTTTAACTACACCACAATGTAATGTGACGATTCTCTATTATTGGACGGATGAAATTATCTCTGCTCAAAGAAAACAAAAGCAGAAGCAAAGACTAAAGTCATCATTCATATCAGAGGGATGTAATCTATCACAGAGAACACAATGTTGACGCTCAACAGCCGGTGAAACCCTCTGCTGCCCCTCATCCTCAGAGGTTTCCCACCTCTCCAATCGATGATATTTCTATGGAGGATTTCACACCCAGTACACGCTAGATGTGATATTTAAAGTGTAACTTCTGCAGCTGGTGAAACATCTCAAATGTGAGTCCATCGTAAACTCCGTCATGAATTAGAAATCACATTCAAACTTGTCTGTGTGTGAATCGAAGAAGAGCTGCTGTAACTCAGTACCGGGTCAGTACAGTGTTACATGCGAGTAGATGGAGATTTGTCGGTATTAGAACTCTCTTCCTCAAATTAAAACGTTTATTTCAGACTGATTACGATCACACATTAACGTGCGAGACAGCGAGTCTCAATAACTTCTTGTTGGAACATTTCAATCAAAGAGGACAAAGCAATGATTTCCCATATCAGTAATTTAATTTAAATTGTAATCAAAACTGATAAAAGAAAAATAATCTTGTCATATTGTCAGGGATGCAAGGATGATTTTTCATGAAGCCACAGACTGTATAAGAGGATAAACAACACAACACCTCCCTTTAAATGAAGCCAAAACATTTGGGAGCTAGTATCGGGTCATAAGCCCCTCCTCCTCCTCCTCACCGACAGATGAGTCGTAAACAAAATAAAATTAGAATACACAGACTACACTTTTTTTCCAAACATAACAAACACTAACACAAGAGTAAAGGAACTTTACTCAAGTGTGACGGCCAACTTCCATCAGATGCGTGGTCTTTTCAAAATAAAACACTCCGTTTGGACAGTTCTGAACTTTATGTCTCTGTATGTTTGTTTGTGTTTTAAATAGTTTTATACCACATCGTATTAACCTGCGCTGTCGCGAGTGAATGTGTAAAATTACCGCGGGAATTCCTGTCTCTGGTGGAAGTTCTGGGAGAGTGTCTGCTTCACACCATCAGGAGAATCTGTTCTGCTCTGCACTGAACCCACCTGGAGGGATTTCTTTGACATTTTATCAGGAAGTTAAAACGTTTGTTTTGGTTGCAGGAAGGGACGGGACATCAACACTGTGACTCCACAAAGTCCCAGTGAGTCAGCGCCCGTTTGGGGTATTTTGGCTTCATCTTTGTGCAGCAGGGAGAAGAAGGTGGAGACAGGTCGTCCATCTTTATGTACAGTCAGCCGATGAATGGATAAACTTTTAGTGTATGAAATGTAAAAGGAAAAATGAACGGCTCCTCAGTTTTTCCCAGAGTCCAGAGGGGGAGGTCTTCAGATTGCTTCTTGTGTCAAACACACAGTCAAGAGTCAACGTGTTTCATACAGTAAATAAAATTTATTTTCATACAGACGTCACACCTCAAGTCAGAGGAAATAAAAAGTCAGCGGCTCTCAGTCCATGACGCCGCCGCGGCTCGTCAGTCAGCAGCCAATCAGCATTTCATACGACTGCCGACTCTGAGGGAAGCAGCTTCATAAATATCACTCCTGGGGGGGCAGGTGTGTGTGTGAGGGAGAGGGGGTAGGGGGTCAGGGGAGGGGTTTTAGAGGTTTATTTGCGTTGCACCTGTGTGAAGGAGGAGGGCAGCTGGATGGACTGGACGGTCTGAAGTGGCTGCACCGGTTTCTTCCTGGAGTCTGGAGAGACCCTTTGGACTGCTGAGGGCAGCAGTTGGTTCCTCTTTATGATCTGCAGAGCCAGCTGGGTGTTTCCTGAGGGAGGGGGGGGGATACAGAAAAGGAGGAGGGTTACACTCACATACATACAGCTCTCTGTAGAGGAACAGTATTTGTTGTCCCACATATACTGTCAAGCGTCCAGCTTGACCCCAGCCGAGGGTCGATAATAAAGGTAAATAACATCATCAAAATTCAGTGATAATAACTTAAATCATAATTTGACTGCATTAGTGTGTTTCTGACCGTTCTGTAGCTCTAGGTAGACTCCCAGCAGGATGGCTTCAGGTGGAATCTCTTTAGTGTTCACCATCGATGCAGCCTGATGGAGACGAGAAAAACAACAAGGTGAAGATTCAAACTACAGAGAAATATTTTTCCCAAAAGTTGAGAAAGAACTGAGGCTGACTGTCAAACAAAGCTTCTTTGACATATTCTCCCCCTTCTCAAACAGTCTCCTGTGGTCTAAATGAAACATCTGTGCTGTCCTTTGGTCAAAATACAACATGAATCAAAAGCACCAGAGGAGGTTTGTGACCCTGTATAAACCAGCTCTCTCAGAACGCTCCGTTTTGGTGTGTGTGTCTCTTTAAGAGCATTTTTCTCTGTGTTGTAAGACTTGTGCAGACCACAAACAAAGGACTGGATGTGTTTATTTCACATGTTGTGGGTCAGTAGACACTCAGGTTACCCAAATATACGTTCAAGAACACTGTGAAGGTGGATTTTTCATAACATGTCCCCTTTAAAGCCTCTATTTCCTGCACACATCACACAACACTTGCATGCGTTTTTCCCCCCTGATGGTAATCTATCTACAATGAGAGCAAACAACGACAACTGCACACATTATTTGGGCCCAGCTGAAGACAGGTTAGCTCGTTGCACTGGTTCACATGTAGTCGTGGTTTCACCGTTTCCATGGT